GATTTTTTTTGTCTCACGAACGTTGATTATTGTTGGTAGTGGACTTTCCCGCCCTTTTCTTACAATAAATGCAGTGAACCTACCATTTTCATAAGCTTGATTTCAAAAAATTTCCTTTTTACTCCGTGTCGACCTGGACGAAGCTGCCTTTCCAAGAGTTCGTTGTCCAATAACACGTATCACAGCATCGCTGCTAGTTATCGAACAAGCTATTTCTGTTCCTGCTGGTAATCGACCGATTCGTAAAAATTCAAAACAAGTCACATCTCTTTGTCATAAAAGTAAGCTAATACCAGTAACTCCTGCCGTATTGGAATAATGGAGTCAACGTCTTCTATGTCATCAAGGGTCGAAAATTATTCATGTTGATGAGTTAGGAACGATATTGCACGAAATTCTCAGAATTCGTCGAAGAAATTTACTTTAAAAAATAATCCAATTATTTCAAAAACCGAGTTCCATTCAAGAATGACATTTTCGATAGGAATAATCAGTACATTTTTTACATGATTGGGCTGACACGAGGTTGGCATACTCAATTCGATAGGTCTATGAACACCGACATCGCTACAACGGCCAGCTTGGACCAGTGACTTGGATCAACATGGCACGGAAACCGAAGGCTCCGAAACGTTAACCGAGCAAAAGCTCTTATTCCATCCTCATGTCAGCTCAGTGATATAGAAAAGATTCAAGTTAATTATTTAGTATTTGCTTAACATGAGGCAGTTTTCGAGCCACTTATATTATTGGTATAACCTTAGTTGGCTGACGTTTATCGCACTGGTTAGGCGTGACGTGCAATACACATGTGGTCTTTGGTTCAAACCTGCATCCTTGGCTTAACAAGCCTTCCACCCCTGTGGGAGTTGTCAAATTGGTACCAGACTTATTTGAGAGGGTAGCGGAAAATTTGATAGATTAATGGGGCACCAGAAATCGTTGTTTAGGCCAGTCATGCAGTCAATTATCTTTGGAGTGCTGGATGGAGTCGAATGCATGGTGCATCCATCAACGATTAGTGACTCTAGAAGCTTTATTTTTTTTTGTCTTTTATCACTCAGTCGAAAAAGCATGCAACATCACATTTTACTACAACAATGTAATTTCAAGCAAATGGTGGACATTCTGTGGCGGCTTTTGAATGAGTCACCTCGAAGAACATCTCGACACCACAAGTTGATCTGGTACTGGTATTGATTTCTTCGTAGCTGCTATCGTATTCCTGAAAGGACGCTATTGATGGGTTGTGAAAAATTGCTTGAATACATAAAACGCTTGTCTTTACGGATTATACTGAGTGTTCCACCAGGAGTACTGTTGTATGTTCTCTCGTAATGTCGAACTCATAAACTTGGACATCTCCGCATATTGGCTGACTGGCTTTTATATCCCAGACATGTATTCGTCTCATCATAGTTAGATGGTGAGCATGGCCAGCATTAATAAAAGCCAATCCTGAAAGGTACTGATGTATTAAAGCGATGTCGAAAGGGGTACTGTTGTGTTGTGATATATGAAATTTTAGTATAGAAGAGAAGCTTTTATAGCTATGGCTTTTTGAGCTTAAATCATAATGATTTCTAATCATAATGAAATCATAATGATTATAGGCACCCTAGAAACTTTGCTATAGTTTTTACCACCCAGGTGTTGCTTCCAAATGATAGTTTGGATCTGGAAGGAAATGACACGCATCGATGGCTTTAGTATAAAACATTTTTTTCGAGAAGAAAGTTGTTTAAATGCGCAATGATACAACCACAATGATGCTGAGATATTTGTAAAACTCCGGGCCGTAGGTGTTTGCGGTGGAGAACGAACTCGCTGTTACCCTTTCCGGGTGCTAACGCGTTAACCACTACACCGTGTGGATCTTTCGTTTCGCCTGTCTCTCAGCTGGTTCTGTCGATCAGTGTCGTCAAAAAATCACTCGTCAACGGGTTGATTTGAGGAACCCAAATCGGCAATGAACTCAGTTAAGCTGAGGCTGTAATCGAAATCAGAATGTCACTGTATCGCTGTTTGAATGCTTCAAGGTATTGACAGTTATCGGCAATTTGGCTAGAAAGGTAATAGCGATGCATTTTCATTTATGCTCTTTTGTCGTTAGGGCCATGGCTTATGGAAGAGTGTGCATCAGTATTCCTTGACCGATCAAACCTGGTCGTAACAGACGTTGCAGTTTTTCATATGCTTTGTTGGTTTCTCACAACACATCATATTATAATGTTTTCGCGAAGATTCAAGAGGTATGCTGGATGATTTTTTCTTCTGGCCAAAGTAAGTTATCGTGAAGTTTTGGAGGGAATTCGCTTCGGGGTGTTTCGCAGTTCTATTGTCTCACTTTTTTTGTGCAAACACAGCGCAGGATCTTGCCTCTAATTAAGGAACTGATCGTTCTGCGTTGGATAGAGGAAGTATAAAGCAGTTTTTGGTGCTACTTGGTTTTTCCACATTTCATTTGGTTGACGTGAAACATTCAATGGTTAAGAAACAGAACGTTTTTTGTTGGGGAGAACTGCAAAACAGATATTATGACAACAATACTCACGGCACTTCTCATTCATTTCGTGTGGAATCAATTTGTCCAGGTTTTTCGCGCAAGCTTTTCCGCTTTGGTGTTTAAAAAGTATTTCTTTGTTTATGTCTTGACCTGAATGTTTTGAAATTTCACGAACTAATGTTGAGCATGATCTTGCTTCGGTAAACGCCTTCATTTGGTCATCATAGATATTAGCGATTGTGCCTACACTTCGTCATTTACAAAAAGCTGGTTTTCACCGTAGCCCTTCTGACATTAAACTTGCATTATGTCCATTGTAAAATTCACTAGAATTTGCCTTTTTCCATCTTTATTCCACTGCGCTATATTCAACATAAAGGATAAAGCTCTCGGCGTGGACCAATTCCTGCGAGCTGTGCCTTGCAATCGACTTCAGCAAGTCTCATTGGAGATGACTGAATGCATATTAGACATATACACTTGTGATGGCCTACCGATGTACCCAGTCAGCGTTGCTATTCTCCTAAACAAGTCTAGTACCAATTTGCCGACCTCGGCGAAGAGATGGAAAGCTTGGTAATCCTGAGACGCGTGTTCGGACCCGTGTGTATTGCAGAGCAGCTCTAACTACTGCGCTACAAGCATATATTCAACATAGACATAAACGTTTCCATAGAAACAAGAAAATCAAAGTATAAACTGAAGTGGAAATCTGTGGCATAAGGTGATTTGGAATATGCCCATCAACAGGAAGTACTTGCAATCCTTATGACGTTGAAATGAAAATTTTATTATGAGTATCTAGCTATTGAATTATTCCACCAGTATTGGTTAGCTTGAGACCGAATATGGTGTTCAACTTTAATATGGTGTGTGAGACACGTGCACTTAATCGTGACACCACCGCAAGATTCGGTGCATGAGAGAACGCAGACCTTACGTAAAACTTATGTTGTGTATGCATTGATTCCAAAGCATAATTCTCATCGTTTATTTTTCCGGAGAATAGTTTTTGGCATAGTTTCTTTATATGATCGATAGCCACGACACACACGGTTTTTCGTCAAAGCATGCCATTATGACCTATTTTCTGTGCTTGGCGACTAACAGAAACTCTTTTCATTCTTCATACAAATTTCTTAATGCAAATCTCCCGAGGTTAAAACGGCTGACCTGAACGGTTTCCAAACAAAATAACGAGTAGTTTCGTATGTGTTAAAGTAAAATATTATGTGGAAGAAATTAGAGTAAAAACTAACACACTTATGTCTCACTGCCTGACGTGAGTTCAAGTCAGCCGAGAAGCCTTCCGGCAGGCTGCTTGTTTGAAATGATTTCCACTCAAGTGTGATGGGAAGGACTCGTCGCTTTCAACCTTAGACAAACGTGTCCTATCTCTTACCTACGGAACTCCATTAAGTGGAATGAAAACCATTAAGATTGACAGATTTTCGCTTTACGTCTTTAATCCTCCATTACTGTAAAATTCTATTTTTTCAGTGCACGTAAAACTTTGTTTTTTAAAAGGTTTTTCTTTTCTTCTATTTCCTTTTTTTTCCATTTTCATTCCAAAATGGATTCATTTTTGTCGAGACTTGCACTTTGAACACCAAAAACTAGAAAGGCTAAAATAAGACATCTATCTATAAGTGTTAAGTATTTCTGAGGGAATTGGTGAAATAACGATTGGTAGGTGAGTTATGAGTTGCCCAATCGCCCCAATAAATGAACATTATTTTGATTTCTGTACTTAAAAATGCCTGTCAATGGTTTACCGCCTCATCGTGGTTGGGAGATGTTTCTGAGTGTCGTGTTGCGATGTACAGCTGGGGGATTCATCTGCCCGACAGGGTTTCCCAAGTTGAGAAGGAGTCCGGCGTTAAGATCAGGAAGCCTAGCTAAGAGTAAACCAATACCAGGATCCACCACCGTCCTGGTATCAAAGTTGCGTGGTGGCAAATCTCCCTCTGATCCACAAGGGCTGCCACTGCTTGTGGTGGTGAAGACCTGGAGCAGACTTTGGCCAGGGTGAACTCGTTATTCCAGGGAACCACAATGGCTTAACCAGCAAATCTCCAAAAAGTCGTGAAGCCCGCACAACTAGTGAGGACGGGCCGTTCAAGTATCAAGTATCAAGTACTTAAAAATGTTAGCAGAGTTGCAAATTCGACATCATGCTACTTTTTAAACATTGTTAGTTATAAAAGAATAGAACTTCGAGGGCTTTTTTATCACAGTTGGAAATAAGAACACCCTAGAGCGATCTAGGTGATTTCACTTCGATTTAGTAGCTCCTGTGTGTTAGCACACAATTCAATCCATTCACTTGCTTTGCCTTCATAGAGTGCCGGCGTCTAGTTATTTAGTTGTTACATCTTATTGTTATGAATAGTATTTTAATCCTATGCCTTGTCGCAAGCGCTCCTCTCCCGTTATGGTATGAAAGCTCTTTCTTTTTGAAGTGTTGTCAGTTTCTCTCAAAAGTGAGTTTTAGGTGGAGTAGTTCTTCGCCGTTTAATCAAGAAATGTAAGGATTGGAGCCTTGTAATATCGATCAGTATGCACTTCATAGCCATCTCGACAATGCTTCTACTAATTCAGTTTTCCGTTCCTGAAAATGCAACAATAGAACCAACAGAAGCATCATGGTTGCTCATCAATCCCAGGCAAGAGACCGAATTGTTCAAAATAACCTATAAATTCCAATATAGATTAAGCCTGAGTGAAACGAAAGCTAAGAGCATGTGTAGCGTAGTGTCTAGAGGTGCACAGCAATGATGCACACGTGGTCTGAGTTTTGCAAATATCTCAACATCATCGTGGTTGTATTTCACATTATACCGTGCCTTAAAAAAATAATAGGCAGTAAATAAGAATTTATACTTTATTGTAGTTGATGGATATTATTGTATACTTTACGGGAGGTTTTCAGCCGTCTTCTGGTGATTATCATCGGCTTTCTGGCTGGTCTTGGTGATTTCACGATCACCATGTGTCGTGCGGTGATTTGTCAAGTGGCGTTGCCCGATGCTCGCATGCAGGTGTTCTCCATCAGTCGACTCTATCAGGTAGGGCTTTTTGTTCTGCTAAAATTCCATAATTTTCAGTAACAGATGTATACGGATTGATGTCTGACTAACTAGCCTTTGTTACTCCAGTAGTTATACTAAATAATGAAGGTACCATAAGGACAGGTAACAGATTTTCGTTTGAAAAACTTGTTATTTTATAGCAAAAATGTTTATATAATGAACGGTACACAATTTTATCGTAGTATTATTCCAGTTTGAATGGAATTTATTATTCAACACCCGTACTTTTGCTACTTCTCAATTTTGATAGCGCAAAATTCGTTTGTTCGTTTCAAATTCATCTCGTAGTCGATAATTACTCTAAACCATTTTAAGATTCTTTTTTATTCCTGAACATTTTTCCTAGCTTCAACTTCCGATACTTGGATACTTAGACGGCCCCTCATCACTGCTTCTGCGGGCCCCAGCATATCCTCCATTTTCCGGAGTCTTGCTAGTCCAGCCATCGTGTTTTCCTAGAATCCCGAGGTGAACCTAGTCAAAGTCTGCTCCAGGTCGTCGCAGCCCTTGTGGATCAGAGGGAGATTTGCCGCCATACGACTACTTTGGTACCAGGACGATGACGGATCCTGGTACTGGTTTACTCTTAGCTGTGCTTTCTGATGGAAGCGCCGGACTCTATCTCAGTTTGGGAGACTCTGCCAGGGAGATGAATCCCTCGCTGTGCATCGTAGCTCGACGCCCAGGAACGCCTCCCAGCCACGATGAGGTGGGAAACCGTTGGGAGGAGCTTCAATTTTACATCTTAGAATGAATAGAATTATTAAGAGAGCTCCTTATTGTAATGTAAGTCAATAATACACGTTTTCTACTCTACAATGTTACCCATTATGAAGAAAGTTAAGGAGACGTGTTCTGTTCTGTTCTGTTCTATATGAATCAAAATCTGGATTGATAAGAAGCACCCTTTTTGTATCCTGATTTGTTATACTTTGTGTAAAAGCGGTAGAAAAAAGTTTGATTACTGAAAAACGGATAATTATTATGGCCAATTTGATTGTAACGAAGCGAATAACATTCGGAACGCCCTTCGAAAAACATTTTGATAACGTATTTCGTGTTATTACAAGACTTCAAAGAACACACAAGGATATCAGTTTTGTATTATTCTACTTCACATTATGTGCGGATCTTAGAACCTTTCTGACTTCGTTCGTCGTATCGCACCTACCATCCATGAACGTCTTCTGATGAACGCGTGGGCTTGGTTGCTTCTTGAGAATCCTGGTCTTCTTCATAAGTATTGTTCCATGCCACTCGAGCTTCTTTTCCATGAAATGTTGAGAAAAATGACAATAATTCCTCGATCGTAATAGAGTAGTCAAGAAGTTAGGAACTGCACAGTTCTATAGAATAAACTTCTTTGTATTGTCTTAATCGTGTGTATAGTTACTATACAGTATTATTTCAACTTTACTTTATGTTTTTAGTTGTTTCTTTCTCATTTAGTGTATCGCTGCTGGTATTGTGTTGTTTTTGACGCGTTTCATGAACGTCACCTGCTGGAATATCGTACTGGCCGTCGGATTAACAACCAGCACCATCACATTTGGGATTGTGGCCAGGTAGTTATCTAACTGTTAGGATTCAAAAGTTAAAAAGACAGGTCAACTATGGGTTTTCTAGAAAAGCATTCTGGGTTCACGGAGTAAGTCGGATTACTAAGTAACATGTTAGAATAGCACTTTGTCCGATGAATCTGAAGCTTCTAATTCATGAATCATTTTTGATCAACGGATTTTCCTACAGTTGCTTAATCAATAGTTTTGGGTATTCCCCAAACGCACACGTTTTTAGGAGAAGTACTCACGACCGCACAAACAGCGTGGCCCCTGTGAGCAAGGAAGAACTAACTACTGCCGAAATGGCTTAGCCAACCTGTTTGAATACCGAGTCGATTCTTGAGTTGTTTCGTGCAAGCACTGTTCCATATCGTAGCACGGAAACAACTTGAAATGTGTGACTACTTTTTAAGTAGCTCCAGTTGTTCGACAATCAATGTTGTTTCTCACAATTTTGTCATAAACGGGTTCATTAACTCTTTAAAAGCAACTCTTAGATTCTTCGTCAAGTGGAAATACTTTCCAGTTTTACCACCTAATTTGGTTTGTCGGTATACTTGTTAATGTCTGAATAAATTGAATGAGCATTTGCTTTAAGAGTCCATTTGTCTTCGTCGAACACTAGAGCGTCTTGTGGAATCGTCAGAAGACGGAATTGGAATTATGATGATAATAGAAGAAACAGTCAATCAATATTACAACTATGACCATGAAACAGTTTCTGCCAATGACGTGCTTCTTGCAAAGAAAGAACTACCGCACTCTGCCTATAAAAAGGCCTATTTGTAAAAATCACTTGACCTTCCATGGCTATATCGGGTTCCTAGAGAATATCATACTTACCCAGATTTCAGTATGTGGATGTAGAGGAAGAATTACAGGTCTAAAAGTGGCCGCCAAACACCGCAAACTCAACCAGCTTTATGGATGACCATTGAAGGCACAAAGCAACAAGCTAATGAAAAAGTCAAAAGACCGGCTTTCTATAAGTGTCGGCATAAACAATCGATATGTCTGTATAAATCTCCTTACGAACTGCCCTTGTTGAACTTTTGTGGGGTTGGCATAAGTTGTTGCTGTTGTTCGATATCTGACGTTTCGGCGATTTCGCCTTCCTCAGAGCCTTGCTGTTCTATATGGGACCACCCTTGTGTTGTTCACGTGGGATGAGTGAGACCCACCCATATGTGTATCGGAAAATCATTTTAAGATAAGGTTTAGTATCACGTGTGATAGGTCTTTAAAATCCTCACCATTGGTGTTTTGTGTCCTATTTTTTACGCACAGGAGTACTTTGTCGAACTTTAGCTTTACCCTCAAGATTCCTTTTACGCGAACACAAAGTGGTCTACCCGTTTTCCCCAAGGTATTCTTCGCCGCACGCCCTGCATGAGATCAAGTTATTGTAACTGGACTCATGCGGCCCCCATCTCTCCGCTTAAGACAGATTACACAATTTTCTGAGGTATACAAGCGAACATAGAGCCATTGGCGAACTAACTGACGGCGCAGAGTATTGGGTGGGAGGTCAATAACTGACAAATAGCTTTCAAGACCACTTTTTTGAATTACCTCTTAATGACGTAACCTACTTCGTTTAATATGAAGCGTACCTTGAAAAAGTCTTATGTAGGTTTGAAATACAGCAGTCCTTTTGGTCCGGCCTAAGTGGCTTCCTCTTCGTTCACATTGGAAATGGCTATTTCTTGTGCTTAGCTTAAGGCTAGCGATTCTTGCCTTTCTTCTTTTCTTGTGCACACATTTGTGCCGTTCGGTGAATGTTTTTGATGAGAGCTTTTTCATTTATGAAGTATGAGAGGACAGGTAGTGTACAAGTATATTTTTACTACTTGGCTTGCGATGTCATTTTGTTGTTTATTTTTTACGTGGTAACAACCTCGTGTTAGCTTATCAATGAAGTGGAGTGCGTTGATAATTTATACCAACGTTAAATGAAAGTCGACTTACAGTGATATTTGTCTCTTCTCCTTCGTCTCTACTATAGTTTGAATCTCATGTGACACTTTGTCTAGGTATATTATTGTAATAAATTGCATGAAATCGTCTTGGGTTGGTGTATCAGACGATACCAATGGAAAGATTAGTACTAAGAAATGGTATGATGAAAATTTTCAAACACTACTTCTGTCCAATTTGCCTGAAGTTGCTTGGAGATCCTTCCGCGTGTTAACATTCATCAGGTTCTCTCTTTAACCCAGCTCTTTCTTAACATTTTTTCTGTAGTTTATTGCATAATTTCTTGTCACACCATTTATTGAATTATTTTTCTTTCATCGTTTTTTCTTCTTCAAGGAAGTCACCGCAGTTATGACGAGCTCATCCACATTTTTCTAAGTTATTTCACCAACAAAGATTGTAACATCAGATTAATATTAGGGTAATAATAATGCGAGATTAAATAGAGCCTGATTGGGAAGCATAACGTAGGCTGGAAAGGAGTGCGTGGGACAGTTTCTTCCACCGGACCATCTCTTCCAGAAACAACATTCATGATGGAGTAGCACCAACAGAGTGGTATGCCCCTTGTATATATTTAATGAGCAAAACTTCCCACAAGAGGTCAATATCCTTCACTTTAATCTTCACTAGAAATATGATAATGGTGGATTGTATTTACAGCGATAAGGAAGTCTTACTCATGAAGCGAACAGAAACTTCAAACCAGCAGATGTGCCGTGCCTATTCAGCACGACAATCCCCGTGGCTGTTTACAAATCTTGTAAAATGACCGTTGCGAAAGTAGGAAGATGTGAGGAGATTTGAATGTCTTGTAAGAAAAAGCCTATCTTATCGTATTGTAAAGAAATAACTACTTTTTCTACATGACCCGTCATTACACCTGCTGTGCGGATTCCAGCACTTCTTGCTTTCGACTCATTTTGCTTTCATTGATCGTCCACAATGATCTTCGTATAATACTTTCTTCGACTACTAAGCAAACATAAGGTTGATAAAAAGCTTTATTCCGCAAACATTTTTTTGGCGATTATAGCACTGTGGTCGGAGGCGCACTGCAATACATATGGGATCGATCCGCGCGTCCCAAGCTCACGAAACCGTCCGTCTCTCCTGTGTCGGTGGTACTAGACTTCTTTGGGAGTATTGTAGCGCTGCCTCGGTACAACGGCGGGCCACCGCGAGTCATTGTACAGGCCAGATATGCATTCAATCACCTCTAAACGATGCTTAATGAAGTCGAATGCATGGCGCATCCCTCAGGGATTGATCAACGCCAAGAGCTTTATCCCTTTCATCTCTTTTATATCATGTATGCATACATATTGCATACATATTTTATGTATACACAATCATTCTGTGCGAAAAATTGCAAAAATAGTGAAATGTAATACACCGCAATTGAAGTAAGAAAACGCTAGTCCGCGATTAACCCCCTGCACCCCACCTGAGGACGCGCCACGTTGCTTCACGACTAACCGGCATGAGGATCTATCTGTATGGCAGAGATCTGTGGACATATATGTATATATACATATATGCAGTCATTGTGTTGAAAAGATGCAGCACCCACAAGGGAAAACCGCAGGAAATTCATGTCACCGGGAAAAATTCCGTTCGAAGAACAAATGCTCGGCGCATTAACGAGAGACTTCTATGTGCGATGGTGTATACTTTCAACAATTTCAAGTGCTCACTGTTCTACTAGTTGGCAAACGAAATTCGTTGAGGCAAGGAGATCCACGCTCGTGAAGAAAGTGGTCGAGTGAGAAAAGGTGATGCACTACATGTCCTTTTGTGAATGGACGATGGCAAGAGTTCTTATCAAGTTTGTGGCTTGATCGATTATCGTTCGGTGTAGATTGCAATCAGATTTAAAATGAAACACAAAATGATAGCCCCAGCATTTTCAGAGACCCACCATTTCCTTGTGAGTGTGAGTGACGTCTGCATATTTCAAACCTTTAGGTGATTACCCCTCCAGCGGCACCTTTTTTCTTCAGAAAAGTGAATTTCGGCAAAAAGGGAGTGAAGTGAACCGTGATCAAACAAAACGGTTCCCATTGTGGTTTCGTTCTGTTATATCAAATTTTTCGATAATACACCCATTTTCACTGATTTTCCTTAACCTAGCGTTGAACTATATTTAAGAACTGCCCTTGCTGAGAAGACGTAAGATTTGTATTTGTTGTTGTTGCTGTGGTTCGATGGCTGACGTAACGCTGTCCATCTAACTCAGCGAATTATCTATAGTACTAATGAAAACATATTACATAAATAAACGTCACTTCCAACATGTATTCTTTCTTTGATGAGCTTACACTAAGTTGATAAACAGTTTTATTCGGCTAACGTTTCGACGTCTTCGTCTTCATCAGAGCCGACGATCCGAGTCGATAGTCCACCGTTCCTCTTCGTCTCGATGTGGCGTCTTCGCCTTCGTATCGAGTAGTGTCTTCCTCAGCGGGCCATCCCCTCGAATGAGGCACACTCACTCGGTGATGCCGTTTTACACAGAGTGCTGATGAGTGATAGCTGTGATAGTTCAGTGATAGTAACTTGTTTTTCCCATACAATCGATCCTGCAAAAGACGGTATCATTATCAGCTAGCAAATAGCAACAACAATATTTCAAAATAGACTGCTTTAACCATGGTGTTACTAATCAATATGTATTCTTTCCTTGATGAGCTTGTACGAGGTTGATAAACAGTTTTATTGTGCTAATGTTTCTATGTCTTCGTCTTCATCAGAGCCGACGATCCGAGTCGATAGTAATGCCGAGGCTAAAGGAAAGTCGGTTTTGAAATATTGTTGTTGTTCTTTGCAAGCGTCACTTTGTTTAAAAACTACTCAACTTCTGCTATGTGACGAACCGTCCGTGTGTTCATAACGTGTAATGACGAGTGAAACCCACTCAGATCAAAAAACTAATTTGAAAGAAGGCACCAGATCAGGTGTTGTAGTGAAGCATTTGTCTTTCCGGTTCATCTTTGGATTTTTGAAATTTCTCCAAAATGCTTCAA